TTTGATACTCGCCAAATCGTATCCACGCCTCTATTAAAGCCTATCCCCGACGTTACGCGAGATTTCTGGTCTTTTAGAGACAGACTCGCCGTTTTCGCCCTTAACAATATACAGTATACTAATTTCTCAACATTTGGAATAAAGTGAAAATGTTTAGAACTAAACAGTCAACACCCCCCCAATATCAATTCTAACTCTTAATTCTAACTTTAAAATTTCTAGGCAAAATCTTATATTTTTTTTAAAAAAACATATACTCCGGTGAATCCTAACAATAATTAATTTGAGTATAAATAAGTCACCTACTTAATTAAAATTTTAAAAGCTTCAACAGAAACATGAGTTAAGGTAATTTCAATGATATTGTTCTTTTTGGTTGTGGTTGATAATTCTTGACGAAAGAATGTTGAGCGGTGATACAAAACTAATGAATGTAGCTTAAAACATTGACCACCAACTTTAACTATGACATTATAATCATATTCTGTTTCAAGAAGTTGTGCAAAATCGTTGGAGAAGCGTTCAAGTAATTTAGTATTTATTTGCGACATTTGTAAGTTTAAAGATAAGATTATTATGTCGTGACTAGAATTTTTACCTTTTTTAATGTTGCTGCAGGTGCAACCTTAATTAGCAATTTCTGATGGGTAGTGGTACCAGTCACAACATATATGTGTGTTACAGAACTATCTCCAATATATATATTTTTTTGATAATATTGAGTTATTGAATGCGAAGCATCCAATAACGGGAATTATTTTTCTGGATAAATGATTTCATGTGATCCGTAGGATCGAATGATAATCATTTACCAGAAAAATAATTCGAGTATCTGGCTGTATTTTTAATATACCAGTTCTGGGTCCCTTAGGGACCCAGAAGCTGGAATATTAAATTTTACTACCAGATACGAAAGTTATTGGTGCTTCGTTGGCATTCAATAACGGTATTATCCGGTATCCTATGACGATACGGCATACAAAATGACTTGAGTTTATTTTGCAGTTGTTTTTAATATAAAAAGTTAATAACTCAAGTTTTTTGGCAGTCGTAGACTGCCGAATAACTTGAGTTATTGACTTTTTATATTAAAAATAACTCGAGTTATTTTGTATGCCAGACCATAATAGGCTGCCGGATAAAATAAATTGATTTTTTAAAATATAAATAAGAAATGATACTTGATACTTTATCAAATAAAGTTACGCTTTAATATTGTTTTGAATGCAGGCCAAAACTTTAAACACAAGAAAAAAGTTAGTCTATTTATACATTTTATGCATTTAAAAGTTATTTTCTGTTAATAATTCACAATTTTACTGATATGCTTTATACTTATGAGCTTAAAAAAATATATTATGCTTTATTGACGATAAAAATTTCAGCTCATATAAATTTAATATATCAGACTAAAATTTATTAAGAAAAATAACCAAATCAATTATTCAGAGCGCTCTCTAAATATGCATCTTTTAAATGTACCCAACATCTTAGTCTTAGAGCGTTAATGAAAGGTCTAAATATGTAGGAAGTGCATTGGGATTAAATTTTGATTGGCGGAAATATTTTAACTGAGTAAACGTGCTTATCAAGGGCGCCCAGAGAATGTGTACCAGGTTGGGTCCGAATGATGATCCTAAATAAGTCTATTTTTTTTAATCGATTTATTTTTGACTATCATTAATAACTTTATTTTCAATTAAATAGCGATAATTTAAAGCAATATTTAACGCGATTGCAATGCGTATACTATTTATAAAATAATACAAATAAACTTGAATTCGATATTTTAAATTTATTTTTTATTAACTGTTTCTTCGATATGTACAGTTAACTCTTTCTATAACTGAATTGTTTGTTCTGATTATATAAAAAAATTTGCTATACTAATTACTATGTTTCTTAAGAAATCATAACGCTTTTTTTAATACCGAATTACTAAATTTAAAATTTTTAGTTCGTTATATCCAGAGTTCATTACAGGGAGGTTCGTTATAAAGAGAGTGCGGTTGAATGGATTGATCTATCTTTTTGCATATGAAATTTTTTTCTCTGAATTGATGCGGCTGAACTCCAAGTTTTGGTCCACTTCGAATATTATTAATTGTGATGAAAAATTTGACTAAATAGAAAATTTTACTAAGTAGATAAGACGCCAACTTAACTTCGTGAATCTTCGATTGTTGTGCCTTTGCAATTATATTAAAATCAATATTTTAAGTATAAATATTAATATAAAATAAAAAACAAACGAACATATTAGTGACTTATACAGTAATTTAAATAATATTTGCATGATGGTAAACTAATGACAATATCAATACATAAATTTTTTTTATAAACTATAGTCAACTTTCCTTATAACTAACCTCACCATAACTGATAATGAACTCTGGAAATAACGAACTGAAATTAATTTTACATTAGTTCAATATAAAAAAGCGTTGATTTCTTAAGAAGATAGTAATTTTATAAGTGAATTTTTTTCTACGGCCAGAACCAACAGTTCGTTATAAGATGAGTTGTCTGTATACGGTATTAATTTAATGTCAATACAAATACGTAATTTGTGTTTATAGTTCCAACTGTTTTTTACTGTCCCGATCTAACTTTCAAATTGATCAACCTGGTGCACATTTTCGAAGTGATAAATAAGGTTCGCAGGATACGTAATTGATAATGTCAAAGAAATTTTAAAATATTGAAGTGATCAATGAATTTAACAAGTTTTATAATTTTTGATACAGAACTTCGTAACGACACTAACCTATTACAATTCTTACGAAATTTATTTTTATTATTTTATAAAAAACTTTCTAGCTAATATACATTAGAAACTTAAAAATTGTAGTTCTTGTCAATAACACTTTATAATGTTAACTTTAACAAATTGTAATAGCTATGAAAATAAGCAACAAGGCAGCTGGGTTATGTTCTTTATGGTTTATTATATTTGTATAATTTTCGACATTATATAATAAACCATTTAGAATAAATAAAAGCTGCTCAAACATTGACTAAAGCCTTTATTTTGATCCATCGTAACAATTGAGCATTACTACAATATTAGTAAAAGTGATAACTTATAAAATAAGAATACGTCATAATATTGTTGAACTTCCCGATATACAAATTTGATATATCAAGTCCGTTTCTATTATATAAATCCAATAGTTTATAATGTTTTCAAATCGATAATCTTTCAATATTGATATAAAATCTGTTCACCATGTATATCAGGTTCAACAAATATTTTGAACACTAGATAATCTCATCTAGGAAGATCTTGAAGCTCTTTCAGGTTCTAATAGGACTAATATCTCTATAAATGCATGCTTGTATTCAGCCTTAAAAAATTATTCAATAAAGGTTCTCAATATCTTTGATTACGGGTTATAAAAATCACTTGAAATACTTCAAATTCATCCATTAAAAGATTCCAATTATTAGATGTAAGTCGTTTTTCATAATGTTGTGATTCTAAATACACATAATGCCATATTTTATCCTCTATCATAACAGAACATTCGCTGAAAATTGGACCATAATCTCGAGAACATCCAATTACTTTATTTGCATGGATAATTCTACTAAGGATGGAATTCGATAGGTTTTGGGTTTTTAATGAAAAAGTAAAACTATCTGTAGTTGTATGCCATTTTATTTGGACAACTAGCCAACCAGACCAATGGATTATATCCGCCAAGTATTTCATTTGTGCCATTAATCTTTATAATAGCTGCAGTGCCAGGAATATTATTGAATTTGTCGACCAAATTCATGTTTCAATCAAATTCGTAAATTTTGATCTATCATTGATAACTCACGATGTAGTAATTCAATCTTGATAATTTTGATACCATTTGAATCCTCACAGTGAGAGAATTCGAATGGTATCAAAATTATCAAGATTGAATTACTACATCATGAATTATCAATAATAGATCAAAATTTACGAATTTTATTGAAACACGAATTTGGTCGACAAATCCGATATCACATAACCTATGAAATGTTTCACGAGTAAATCCATCTCTACTTCCTCTATGAAGTAATTTAAAATTGTAAGGAATTTTCGTAACATCATATATCGGTGAGTGACGATCAATCCAAGATGAAATTTCTGCAAAATGTTCATCATTAATAATTGTTGATGAATTAATAAAGTTAACTTTACGAACAGGAAGTTGAATAAGAATTTTTTTACGAGCAGGTAAGATAGTTGAAGAAATGGATGCATTAGGATCCATACTCTTTGTCGTAATATCATTCCATAGGTCTACTTCAAGAATTTGTTTATAAGGTTTAACTTTCGTTACAATATCTTTTCCAGGAATTTGAAAATATCGAATTAAAGGAATACATTGATCAAGTTTAGTTTTTAAATCTAAAAAATTCTTCTTAGTCCATTGTTTGAGATCAGAAGGCAGATCCGGAGTTTTTTCTTTTCCCAAATTTCAGATTCTTCAATTTGTAAATCATCTCGCTTTAAAAGAGTTGTCAACGCATTTTCTTGAATAGAAGTAAAGTCATCAGAATCAAAAATTAAGTTAGGATGTTTCGCAATGATATCGGTGCAAAAAGTTTGTAAGGTCTTAAAATTATTATCTTGAAAACTTGTAGAATAAACTTGGGTAAATTTAAATCGAAACCAAGGAGCCTTATTATCAATAAGATAAGACTGAATATATTCAACTAATTCTGCTAGGCCTAACTTTTTGGACGGAACTAAAAGATCAAATACAATAGATTCCTCAAAATTTTCTAACAAGATTGTACCAGTGTAAATATATCTAAAATTAAAAGACCTTTAATTAGTATTTAATTATAAAGATAATTTCAGCTCTCAAGGGGTGAGGTTCTCCATATATACTAATTCTCAAAATTTGGAGTAAAGTACTAAGTGAAAATGTTTAGAACTATACAGTCAACACCCCAATATCAAATTCAAACATTAATTCTACCTCTAAAATTTCTAGGAAAAATCTTATATGATAATAAATGGAGCATTTCACTCCGGTGAATCCTAACTATAATTAATTTGAGTATAAATAATCCACTTATTTAATTAAAATTTTAAAAGCTTCAACAGAAACATGAGTTAAGGTAATTTCAATGAAATTGTTCTTTTTAGTTGTAGTTGATAATTCTTGTCGAAAGAATGATGAGCGTTGATGCAAAACTAATGAATGTAGCTTAAAACATTGGCCACCAACTTTAACTATAACATTATAATCATATTCTGTTCCAAGAAGTTGTGCAAAATCGTTGGAGAAACGTTCAAGTAATTTAGTATTTATTTGCGCCATTTGTAAGTTTAAAGATAATACTGTATTAGGTATACGTACGTATATCGTCAGTGATGTAAATTGGGTTCGCGCAGTAGGCGCAGCGTACACTCCCTGACAAAAGTCACCGGCTGTCGATCATTTTTAGTAATGATCAGCAAGCGAAAGGATTCGTTGAAAATCCGTTT